ACACGCGTGAATGTCATTAGGCTTGTACTTCACACCAGGAAAACAGGCTCATCAAATACTTTCATGAGGTCACAGCTTTGATCAAGACAAGGTTTAATGAAACAGATGATTAGCACTGGGACGTGATGGAAGCATAAATGTTAATGCACTAATTATTCTTTCCTCTTGTGTGTAGTGGCGTTTAGACGAGCCCACTTCCATGTTGCCATCTGACTCCAACATTCCGTTCACTCCACAGAGCAGGTTCATGACCCTTGTCAATGGCACATCTAGGTCCAGCAGGAAGGTCCCCAATTCCTAGTCCATATTGATGTTCTAAACATAAATATAATTAGTCTCATGGCTCAGAACATCCTGAACAGTAGGTTATGCCCCACTTGTTTGCTCGGACAAACTAACAGCTGAAAATCATTTATAGAGATTTTAAAAAATTAAGCAATTATTTCTCATCAATTCAAAAGGTCACAATAGGGGCTGGCTGTGTGGCCAAGTGGTTAAGTTCGAGCGCTCTGCTACAGCAGCCCAGGGTTTCACAGGTTCGGATCCTGGGCGCGGACAGGGCACCGCTCATCAGGCCATGCTGAGGCGGCGTCCCACATAGCACAACCAGAGGCACTCACAGCTAGAATATACAACTATGTACTGGGGGGCTTTGGGGAGAAGAAGAAGGAAATAAAAGAAGATTGGCAACAGATGTTAGCTCAGGTGCCAATCTTTAAAAACAAAAAGTTCACAATAGTTGAAATATTTGGATGACTGCCTCAGAAAAATTCCTGAATTCAATAATAATGTATTTTGGCTCATAAGATTTTGAATATAGAATACAGAGAGCACAGAAAGCTTGAATAAAAGTGTCTGCAAATGTAACACTTCCTAAAATAATGAATCAGCTTGATTTTTACTTTATGACGTATCATTCTTGACGTTCTTTGCATGTATGCAAAAGATTTAAATTTTCTCCTAACTTAATTTGCTCTATGTTCTTAAATTTTAAATAAAGTTTTCAACTAATACAGAAAGTACGCATAAATTGTTTTCTTTACAACTATTACTATTATCATAAAGGATTAAGTATTTCCAAGTAAAACACAATTGATTTTACTCATTTTTCTTATTATGTGCCTTAGTTTGTTCTTTCATTTCTCCATCGAGTTTTAATTTTGTAGTTAACCAATGTCTGACTCTTGATAAAATATCCTTAAAACTTTGTTTCCAGAAATAAAAAGAAAACTTATTTCTAGAAACAGAAAAACATAATTTAATCAATTTATTAGATAGATTCTCCAAATCCAAAGTATATTTAATCCTAAGTGAAAATATTTATATTGTAAGACTTTTTTAGAAGTTTATTTTATTAAATGAAAATATTTTGATGCTTTCAATTTTTGACTGCATTAATTTTCAAAATAATGTTTTATTATGCTTCAATTTATTTTTGTACCATTCTAAAAAATGCAAATAATCTAGTTTTCAAAACTTAATTTTCTGACCGCAAACCCCTGTTATTTATTCTTCACATTTATGTAGTCTTAAATTTACAGATAATTTTCCATCATAGTGGGAAAATTTTATTGAAACTAGAGGCTTCACAAATTCAACAGATTTCTCCTCCTCCAAAAAATAGTAAAAAAGAAAAAAAAAGCTTACATCAGTATTGAAGCTGTCTGAAGATTATCTCACATTTGGAACCAAGTGTCCTCATCATTCTTCCTTTTCTTCAGCCTAAATATATTATTTACTTCAAAATATTATCGGGTAAATTATGCTGGCATCTTCTACTAAACAGCTATTTTACACACAAGATTAACATTTTAAACATGTGCAATTATGAAATAAGCAAAGTTTCTTATGAGTTATAACAATATTAGGTGGCACTTCTAATGCTAGTTATAAGGTCATGCTAAAAATAAAAAAGCCCACACAGTTCACACAATTGCTCATTTACCAGCCTCCACAGAAACTCAACATTTTCCAAGAGAAAGAGAAGTGTCACTTTGAATAATACTCTTAGCAAAAAGATAGAAGCATGTCAAACACATGGAAATAATTCGATCTAGAAGATGGTTAAATCATAAATGTAACATCTCAGATTAATCTGCCCTTGTTAGGAACTATGCTGCTAAGCCCAGAAGAGAAATGGTTAAAGCCTTTATTCTGTAAAGAAGCAAAATAAACTAGTTAAAACACTAAGTTAATACTTTGAAATACATAAGTTATGGAAACACTGCAAAGTTATGTACTGATGGCACAAATCCAAGGTGAAAACCTTGAGATTTAATTAATATATGAGTTCATTCACAAAATATTGATCAAAAGTAAAAGTTATCTGTGGGCCTGAATTACTATCAAAAGATGAATCTAAAACAGCTCTAGCTGTTAGTTCTTCCTGTTTTTAGCTTTCTGTGACAAGACAGATTATCATTGTTTTTTTTCTTCCCCGTAAGGAAGATTCACCCTGAGCCAACATCTGTACCGGTCTTCCTCTAGTTTTTAGTATGTGGGCTGCCAGCACAGCATGGCTGCTAACAGAGCAATGTAGGTCCACTCCCGGGAACTGAACCTGAGCCTCCAAAGCGGAGTGCACTGACCTTAACCACTAGGCCACCAGGGCTGGCCCTCTTGGGTTTTGTTTTTTGCAATGTATTTTTTAATTGAGATAACATTGTTTTATAAATTTCAGGTACACATCATTATATTTCAAATTCTGTGTAGATAACATCATGTTCACCACCCAAAGACTGATTACCATCCATCACCACACACATGTGCTCTATCACTCCTTTCACCCTCCTCCCTCCCTCCCCTCTTCCACTCTGGCAACCACCAATCTAATCTCTGTACCTATGTGTTTATTTGTTGTTGTTGTTTTTATCATCTACTTATGCGTGAAATCATACAGTATTTGACTTTCTCCATCAGACTTATTTTGCTTAGCATAACACCCTCAAGTTCCATCCATGTTGTTGCAAATGGCAAGATTTCATCTTTTTTTTTTGTAGTTATTAACAAGACAAGAAATAACAAGTGTTAGAGAGGATGTGGAGAAAAGAGAACTCTCATATACTGTTGGTGGGAACGTAAACTGGTGCAGCCACTATGGAAAACAGTAGGCAGATTCCTCAAAAAGTTAAGACTAGAACTACCACATGATCCAGCTATTCCACCTTCTGGGTATTTATCCAAAGAAGACAAAAACACAAATGCATGAAGATACATGCATCTCTATGTTCACTGCAGCGTTACTCACAATAGCCAAGACTTGGAACAACCGAAGCAGCCATCAATGGATGAATGCATAAAGAAGATGTGGTATATACATACACCATGGAATACCGCTCATCTATTAAAAAAAAGATTATCATTGTTTAATATCCAAATACATTGTCTATGGGCAGAGTTTCTACAAGAGTTTGTCAAGAGTTAAAATTAGAATTGAAAAAAATTGTAATGACCCTCCCTTTGCAAATTATTGAAAAATAGCCATTGGCTTGCTTTTCTTACATTCCAGAGCATCGGAGTGAACTTAATCCAAAGTTGCAGGAGGTATTTGAAAAAATATATTAACATTTTCCAATACAATTTATTGATTAATCCTTTAAGTATTTAAGCCTTTAAACCATTAAGTAAAATTAAATCCAGTTCACCAGTAGGGTTTAGAGGTATTAGAATATGAATCCTAAAGAAGAATCTCTAGTTTTAGAAGAACATCTGCGTATGTTTGACGGAAATCTTTCTCATTATTTTAGGAGACTTGATGTGGAAAAAAGTTTGAAATAAAAATTCACTTGATTTGCTAAGAAATGTCAATTTCACATTTATTAACGAAAGAAAAGGAGTTACTAGATTTAAAGAATGGTCATATCCTTTTTACATGTAAAAAGATCAGATTATCAAAATGTGGGTGAACGATGAGAAGGCAATAGGAGCAAAGCAATAAATATTCTTCTCTCATTTGCTATCACCTACTTGTGAAGCTGCTCCTTGCTGGTAAGTACCAAGAAAATGAAGAGATCATCTGAAAGGGACTTCACCAGGAATTATGGATAGGAATTTCTAGCATATAGTGTGATTTTTTAAAAAATTATATTCACAAAATCACACTCAAGTTCCTCATTAAAAAACTTAAAAACATTTTATTTGGAAGTTGTATACAAATTCGATATTTATTATCTTTTCTTTCATCTGCTAGTTTTATTATAATTATATAATATAAAGAAAACATAATGATTATTTTCACCAAGATTCATCTTTCATGTAAAATGTCCCCAAAATCCCCCAAATTTACCCCGGTGTGCCACATTGTTATGTTTATTTTTCTGTGTGTGATGCTGACATGAAGCCCAAGAAGCCCTGTCTATAACTGGACTGTCTAATATGGAATTCCCAGGATATGCGTCATACATTTGAATGAGGTTCAATAAATATCTTCACCCAACAATGGTGGGAAACTTCAAAAGAACCAGAAGATTTTTGATGGATTTACATAAAGTCTATCTTTACAAAATTGTTTTTAAAAATAAAGAGTTCTACCATATTAAAAAAAAATAAACTACAAAACTAAAGATCTAAAGTAAACAAAGTGATCAAAAATGATAGTTAAACTCCAATCCGATGCCATAATTGTAATTATATGATTAATTTGAGGAATTATTAGATATTAAAATCCCAACAATGACTTCATATACTAATCTGACTTGTTTCCTTTTAGCAATGGTTATATTGAGAAATTGGCCAATTTTTCCTTCTGTTATTCTGCTCTTATCTTGCCATTTTTCCCCTAAATATATCTGGGAAGATGAATCAAAGGGCACATTTTCTCCTCATGTTCTCTTAAGGTCTACCTTATGGGGGTCTCCTAGGGAATCCAACAGCAAACACACTCTTCTCTTAGGAAAAGCACTAAGGTCCCTCAGCAGTCTAACATGAATGATACCAGAACTCGAAACTAACACCGAAAATGCATGGAGAAGCCATCAAAAGCAGGGCACTAAGACACAATATCATGAGCTAGTTCCTACAATATGTCTGATCACATTTACTACCTGGTTACACAGAACCTGCATTCCAGGAAGCATAAATGCGACATATTTACAATAACAATGGTCAGCAGCAAATATTTCCTTTGGGAGAGTGAGGAAAGAAAAAAGGAAGAAGGCATCCATTATAAAGGCTGAAATAATGTTAAACATTCTAAGTAAGCCTAATAAACAATTTCTTCAAATATATTAGATATACATTAAAACACATTTGAAACAAAATCTCTCCAGCAACTAAGAGTGCTTGAAACATAAAGATTATTAATAGTAGTAGTAATAATAATTATTGCTACTGTTATGAATCTTTATTATTTTTTTTTACAATTTCCCTATTTTTACAATAAGGGAAGTCATAGACACTGCATCTCCAGATGTCTCAAAGCCTTAATAAATACCTAGAGTTTGTTGAAAACGCAATCTTATTGGAATGCTCTTGATACTCAATTCAAAGGTAAAATTAAAAACTCAGCCTAAATACTGGCTTCCAAGGTATTAAAAACGCTTAAGTCCTATCCTATCTTTGGTTATTTTTCTTAATTCCAATCCTGAAAAAAATAAATGAATTCAGGACATTAAAATCAGATACATTGTACCTGGACTGAAATTACAGTATTATTAAGTATTAAAAATGTCTAGCATTATGTATGAACTCTGAACTATTAACATAATTTTGAATTATTATACAATTTAAAAAGCTAAACATTTAGCAAAAGTATTATTGATACAAGATATACTTTACATTCAAAATCATGGATTATTGCAATACAGTTTTCAGCCTGTCAGTAGAGGATTCCAATGCAACAAAAACACATTGCCACAAATTTATTTAAGTTAGCTTAAAAATATTACAGGAGTTAAAATATTGCAAATACTCAATTTATTGAGTTATGAAGCAGTTATTTTAACATCTAGAGCTACAATACATAGTCATATACAGTATAATACAGCCATGTAATAATGATAAATATATTGTTGAACAACTTTAAGTTTTGCTCATTAACAAAGATCCCTTTTAAGTCATTGTTGGCATGGTGCCAGAGGCTCTGTCAGAAAACTGGACGTAAGCCGTTGCTTATTGACAGGTTCACAACACGCAGCACTAGGAGTCTTCAAGTAGATACACACTTAAAACGTAGGCTTGTTCATGTATTCTTCCATTGTCTGAAAGAGAATGATAAATTAGACCACACCCTTTGCAGACCGTGAAACCTTCTCATTCTTTTATGTTTTTCACCATTATTGAAAAGAACTTTGTGAAGGTGTATCTGGACATAAATCTTGGCATTCTAATTAAGAACGGTGGTTCAAGGTTTGAGCATAATTTGTATACACATCCACATGGCTGGAAGTGGATAACTTTCACCTGAGACAAAACTAAGCTTGATCATAAAATGGATGTCAGATAAGAGAAATGCTAAAGCAACAGCTGCCAAGACATCACAGATGACTTCAGATACATGTGTCTGCTACAGTAGTCATGAGGGCCACCTCCGGGCACAAACATTAGAGCAACCGGAATTGTATTTGCATAATATATGTATTGTCACAGATAATGTGTAGAACATCTCACCTACACTTATGGCCAAGATATAAAGGATAAACAACTATAGCTCTTAAGAATAAGGTTACATCTGTGTAGTTTGAAAAGGCTTTCCTCCAAAGTATACAAATTACGTTTCTTCATCCTCCTCATCAGTTACTAAGTTAGCTAACATGCCATAAGGCCATAATTTTTTTCCAGCACTCCTTTTTAAATGTTTGAACGGATGAACAATTATAGGCAGAGTTAAAAGTTACAGTGATGCTGCAAGCCCTTTACGGTGCATGATGAATGGACTTTCTCTCGCACGCTCTCCAATTATAAACACACAGATTTGTGTGACACCGTGGCTGGCATGAATCAATGAGGGAGCTCAAGGGGGCAGCCTCAGGTAACACCTGCCTCTTCCACGCACATCACAGTCAGCTCAGTCAGCAATGCTCAACCTGTTCTTAAATCTGAACCCCAGGATACCCGATTCACTTGCACTTGCCAGGGAAGACATCCACCAGCATGGGCCAAACAGACCAAGGCCATGGCCAAGAAAGATTGCTCAGGGAACATGACAGCTGGAAACCAGGAGTTCTAACTGGTCTCCACCAGCTCTATCTAGAATTCCAGGGCTCCTCTAAGGAAAACACTTGTGCCCAGTCATTCACACTCTTATAAAGCTCCTCCACCTCCTAGATGAGTATTGGCCAAGAGAGGCCCACACCCTAAGACCTAAGGTATCTCCTTTCACCCACACGGCCCATGTCTTTAAACTTAGTGGAGGTATCATTCTGGCTGGGGGCTTACATCCATTTTATGGTGCCTAGAGTTTTACATCACTGAAAAAGGGACACAAAGTTACAAATACAAAATTGGGTATAAAGTTTACTTAGAATGAGAAAAGAAATGACAGTAGATTCCAAGTTTTTAAAAGATGACAAATATCACAAGATCCAAACCAACACCATATGGTTTTCACTCATTAAGTGCCTGACACACCTCTATCATATGCTATGTTCGTTGCCTGGCTACATATTCTTCGCAGTTAAGATATCTTACTTTGCAAATTTGACCATATGAGGGCATTGCTAGGCCCTTCCTGCAGCCTTGGAACCTGCAAAGGAATCAGCAAAGGCCGTGAGTTGTCACTTCAGTGGCTTCATGGTTCATTGGCCTCTGGTGATTGGCACTGCTTCACACCACTGGCTAACTCTATCTGCTAAAGACTGCACTGAGCCATGCTATCACTCAAAAGACACGAACCAACAACACATGAGGTTGGTATTTTCTTGAGCTTGCCACCTCAAAGTTGGAACAGACTTTTAAGGCTGGTACAACCTTAAAGAGCTCTGCCCCAGCCTTTCACAAGAGGACTAGAACCTGCATCTTGGGATCTCTCCTGTTATCCATCTTGTACTGCAGTGTTTCTTGTGCATTCAGCACTTGTACATGCTACGACTTTTTACTGCATGATGGTTTGACTTAGCTGTTATGTTTATGCTTTATGGGTGACAGTGTTGGGGTGCACCTAGCTTCTTCTCATGAATCTACACCTATACCTATTGCTTGAGCTAATGAGGTGCCATTTGACCCTCCCTTCTTAACTTGCTTTATAATTCTCTGGTCAAAACATCTTCTGTTTGTCGCCCCCACTGGTGATCCCAGGAATTGCAATCCCTGCAGTTAACGATCACTATCTTCTCCTTGAAGAGTTTCTTTTTCCTTCTAATCACTTTGCACCACTGTCCACAGGTCTTAGTTGTTACCCACAAGATAAGGTACCTCCTCAAGTCATCCCCAACCGATTAAACTGTTCCTTTATTTCCATAGTATCAATGTCTAGCCTTAGTACACTCAGAATAAGCTTTGAACATTTTGAGATTTGAGACTATGTATCTTCTAACTAAATATATGGGGACAGCCTTTTTATTCTAAGAAACTTTTATTAGGTAGGGGTCAGGGGAAAGTACCAGTTTTCAGTGGTGCTAAAAGTGAAAGCAATGTTACAAAGGCCTCCCTTAACCTTTAATAACCCCACAAATACATGTTTGGGTCCAAAGGACATTAAAAAAAAAGAAAGCAGTAATTTTCTTTCTTTATGCCATTACATTACTTCCACCTATTCATTCTACACTTCCCTGACCGGATATACGGAGCCAACCAAACACACAAAGTCAATTTTTGAACCAGCTCCCCAATTGTTCATTGATTCAGCTGAAGTACCAGAGCCCAGGAGACCACTGATAACACTGTCTCTACATGGCAGGTGCTGTAATTCAACAAGAAAGGTTTAGATGGCAGTCATGACACTGCCTGCTCACTATGGGGACACGGGGGCTAAAGGGAGGGTCCCCCGAGACCTACCCATCAAGACCCTCCAGTCAATCGTCAAGGACATGAGCAATTAGTATTTAATTGTGAAAGGGCTTTCTCTTGAAATACCTGCTTCCCAGATTTAAATGGAACTGGAAGCATAGATACACTGCAAGCTCTTTAAAACTCTATTCCCTCCTGGCAGGGGCAGGGGGAGAATTCAAAATAATGCAGGTGTGTCTTGGCCCCAATTCAAGGAGCTTTAATGGCTGAGGTGCCAAAGACCCCATTAAAAGTCTCTTTCTCCTATAAGGAGATTCCACAGTAAGGGCCCTGAGGATAGAATTATAAATAACCTCCTGGCATATTTAAAGAAAGGTTGTTCTGTGGAATTTCCAGACCACTGATTTCTCAACTACCTTGAAAATCCCCTTCCTGTGGCATCTGGAGAGAGCCAAGTAAACATCAGAAAGATTAAATGCATTTTCTGAGGTGAGAATGTCTAGTAAGAAATACACCAGCCTCCTAACAGGCGCCCATGGAGGCTGATGTTTCCACCCAAACAGACGTCTCCTCAGCGTCGGTTCACCTGAGGACTGGCTCCTTAGATGGGCAGCAGCAAGGCCTCAGTTCAAAGACGTGCCAACATCGTTGCTGGGAAATCATGCCTAAGGCTGTTTTATTAACTTAGTCGCTTATTTCCAAACAGCAAGAAGAATGGCTTCAATGCCAATTTTTAAAAGACACTTTATAAAGCTCTGGAATCTCTTGACTTGCTGCTATAAAAATAAGAAGATGGAAAGCCTCAGTGATGCTGTGGGAAGAGTTGATGGTGCTGGGATGGAGCCCCGGCCCTCAGATGCACACTTGAGCTGCCCTCATTTGGGAGGGCAAAGGTCAGTGGGGTGAGGGGCTCTTTCTTACAGTGTCCATGGAGGGCAAAGGTCAGTGGGGTGAGGGGCTCTTTCTCAGTGTCGTTAGGAGGACTGAGGGGCCAATGGTTTTCCTTTATGAGGTGCGATGCCAATCTTGGCTGCTTCTAAAAGTCCCACTGTATCTTTCATAACTATCACGGAGTCAGGAGCATGACCGAATGGATGCTTCGGGGCCCATTTATACCTTGGCAAGCAAGCCACCGGTATTCCCAATTTATTTGTGCAAATAGGAGCACACACACAGCCTCCCCAGGAGGTGTAAGAAATTTTAATTAAAATGATAAATGCCATCGTCAGTAATAAAGCTCTAATGAAGTAACGATGGACTGCTAGTCTCCTCACCCAGGGTAGCACAGATATTTTAATGAAAGTCTTTTTATACCTCTCATAAAATGATTCTTGAAAAGAATAGCAGCGAGCTTTCAATACCTTTTTGCCAGTGAGGTGTCCTCGCTAAAAAACTCAGCCTAACATGAAGAGCGAAGACTCTGGAGCCCAATTATCTGGGCTCAAAGCTCTATTCTGCACTTACTAGCTGTGTGACGTTGAGCACATCGCTTAACTTCTCTGTATGTCAGTCTACTCATCTTTAAAAAAGAGGGCAAAAATACTACCTACTTCTTAGACTGATTGTGACAATTAAGTAAGTTAAGATACGTTAAGTTGCTTAGAAATTGTACCTGGGACACAGTCAGTACTCAATAAGTGTCGTCTAATATATAATTACCACCAGCAACATCTTTTCCCATGGCATGAGAAAGTGTATACTGACCTCCTGTAACATATCAGAATCTTCAATGGCTTTGACAGCAGATTTCTTGGACGTTTCCTGAACTTCTCCACCGATGATAAACTCATCCAGGATAAAATAAGCCTTTTCAAAATTAAAGATAATATCCAGCTCGCAGACCTGGTAGGACAAAAAAACCCACAAATATCCTCATGAACCTGCAGTATTATCAGAGGAAGCATGTGTCCAGCTTTTCAACAGTTACACCCATGTGGCGTACCCAAGACAAAAATATCAGATGGTATTTTAAGGACAGAAAAATAGAACGAGGGAATTCCAGGCATTTAATAAAAGTAAAGCCACATTCTATCACAGCAGAGCATGTCCTTAAATAATATTGTTTTTGTTGCAACCAGAAATTTGAGACTCGGTAGCGGGAAGTGGCAGTTCAGCTCATCCCTCCACTGCACCGATGAACGCTGAGCCCCTGCTGCCTTTCAGCCACGAGGCCAGGCCTTCCTTTCTCCTGCTCTCTGCTCCGTCAGTCTTGGCTCCTAGCTTTAGGACCCTCAGAAGCTCACTCTTCAGAGGCAAATTAGCTCCATTGTGCTAATTTTTCTCAAAATCATGTCATAAGCCAGTGGTTCTCAAACTTCAGAGGATCAGAATCACCCAGAAGGCTCATTGCAACACCCACTGCTGGATTCCCCCACTGGAGTTTCTGATCCAGGGGGTCTGCGTAACGTCTGAAAGTGTGAACTTCTATCGGGCTCCCAGGCAAGGCTAATGATGCTGGTCTGGGGACCACACGTCGAGAACCCCCATCACCATCAGGGACCACAGCAGAGTCTTATAGATTTTGTTGCTGAAGTTCAGAAAGTGGCAAGACCACCCCCTATAATCCAAATAAGGCTCATTTCCACTTCTTCAACCAGATAGCAGCCACTTAGGCACGATCCCTGCTGTTTTCCTTCCCACTCATTCCTCAGCTCCCTGACGCTTAACTTTCCCTTCCCTACCCTCTTGAGGGTCTGCTAATTGAACCACTTCAGTTGTCCCCATGTTGACGGTGCAGCAGCACTGGATAACCCTTCACCAATCTCTTTCTGGAAAATCTCCTCTCCCTTGCTCCGTGCCTTTGGCAACACCATTCAATGCCTATTATTCTCCTCCATCTCTTGAGATTCCTTCTCAGACCCCTTGGATGAGATCTCCCTCCACCTTGCACTCATTTGAGAAGTATTTACGGAGCATGTGGGACATCTCCATCAGCCAAACATCTCTGCCACACACTGCTGACGTTCTCGCGATCCATCTTCTTAAATATTGGTGTTTCTCCAGAAAGCCTTTCCACTTTGAAATGCACATACTCTCCTAGACAATCCCCTTGGCTCTCCACAGCTGTATCTAGCTTGCAGGTGGCTTAACATATCTAGATGCCTAGCCTTCATCTCTCTCTGGAGCACTAGTCCAATATTTTCACCTACTAAGCAGACATCTCTGCCTGGATATTCCTCAGTCCAAGTCACCATGTCCCAAACGGAAGTCAAGTATATTCTTTTCCCTCTGCTCCCTATTTAGCCTAGTAGCTGCAACCTCTGTGTAATGGCTGCAACCTCCATCTAGTGGTTAGGTCGAATTCCTTCTGCAGTTCAACTTATTTTCCCCCTCCCCCTCAGTCCGCTCCCTCCCTTGGTCTCACCCTCTCAATCTGGCCACCAATTCCTGTGGACTCCATCGTGTAAATAAACCCCTAACCCTTCCCCACTTCATCTTCACTGCTGCTGCTCAGGCCTGCAACATCTCACTGAGGCCACCGCAATGACCCTCTAGGTGGTGTCTGTGTCCACTCAAGGCCAACGACCACTAACGCTCTGCTAAAATGCTGACTTGTTCCTCTCCTGTGTAAGGTCCGACGTTCAGGACAAAGTTTTCATTCCTCAGCAAGGCATATAGGAATCTGTACAACCCAGCCTGGGCCCTGCTCTCCAGCTCCCTGTGCCAGCCCTGACGGCACGCTACAGCCACACATTCCACAAACACACCATGTTCTTTCATGCCTTTGCCCTCTGCACATTCCAGCCATTCCTGGAATGTTCCCCAAATGTCCTTTCCTTTATTCTGCTGGCAAAATCAAGCTCATTTTTCAAGGCCAAATTCAAAAGTCAGGGGCACAGTGTTTCCCCCAATCCTCCCTTCTCCCATTCAGTATTTGCACCAGTACATGCCTGTGTGCACTAGAATATGCTGACTTATCCCTCCCCACTGTGTACTGCGAGCTCAGGCACAGACCTTGTCGTAGTCATCTTTATATCCCTGCTATCTGGCACATAGCAGGATGCAATATAAATGTTTGCAGGGTAAATGAACGAGTCAGCCACCATGAAGGCCTTCTTTCTATGATGCTGGGGATTCACAACTTCCCAGATCAACAATTCTCCGATCCTATTGAATGCTACAACTTTACATAAAATGGATGTCAATATTTTTGCAAATTGCTCCACATATTCAGGATTTAGGTCAATAAATTTGCAGACTCCACAAGGAAAATGGTTTATGTTGACAGATCCAATTGAATCTAGAAGCATAAGAATAAATGAATACAATACCACTAGAATAGCACGAGAATAAATGGCCAGCTCAGAAAAACTTACTGAACTCATCTGCAAAGGTCACAGTCTCTTCGTTCATTAGAAAACAGCATCCAATCAACAAGTGTGCATATCTATATCTATCTCCCCCTCCCTCAAGAGCCTCTCTCTGTCTCTCTCTCTATATATATGTGTGTGTATAAGTGTATATATATATGTCTGCATATACACACATACATGCATATATATATATGACCAATTTAAAATAAAAGAGTCTATTCACTGGGACATGATACTATAACCCAGGACTTGCCCAGACCTTTAGGGCTCCCTCTTGAGAACAACCATCAGAGAGAGGATGGCATCATAAAAGGACATGTTCTCAGCTTATGAACCCTTTCTCTTACTTCTAAAACACTCTCATTTCAGGAATTGGAATGACAGTGGAGCTGAGCTCCCCAGGCAAAAAGGTGGAGAGATGAGAGTACAGTGTGGGCCAAGCACTATAAACAAGGTGAACAGTACAACACCAGAGTGGGGACAATATGTGCAACATATATAACAGGGAGGAAAGGATAGTATCCATGATACAGAAAGAATTCTTGCAAATCCCTAAGATAAACATCAATAGAAAAAACAAATACAGTCATGCACTGCACAACAACATCTCAGTCAAGGACGGACTGCATATATGATGGTGGTGCCATAAGATTAGCACCATCTACTAGTACATATTCTAGGTGTGTAGTAGGCTATACCATCTAGGTTTGTGTAAGTACACTCCACCATGTTTGCACAACGACGAAATCACCTAATGACACATTTCTCAGAGCATATCCCCATTGGTAAGCAAGGCATGACTATAAGGGTTGTCGAGAAGCAATTCGTAGACAAGGCAAGAAACGGAAAAGGCCATACACATCTAATAAGATGTCCAGCCTCACTAGTAATTAGGGAAATGCAAATTAAATTAATGTTCATCCGGCAATTAAGAGATAATGTCCACTGTGTCCTGGAGGCACTCCATGGGCCAGTGGAGCCTCTTCGAAGAAACTTCCACCCTGAGAAGGAACCTCTGTTTAGTTCTGATCCCCTCAGTCCAGGCTTGGGGGCTTCAGAGGCTGTGTTCTGCAGGCGACCCACTGCTGTCAGGGCTGCATTTCCTGAAAACACTGCAAACACATGAAGATAGCTGTAGTCCCCTAGCAATGAATAACTTCATTTAAAAGAAAATTTTTTAATAAAAACTGAAATGAAGAAAAAGAGATAATATCCATTGCTGGTGAGAGTATGGATAAACAGGTATTCACATTCACTGTTGGTGGAATCTGTAAATTTCATAGGCCATTTCGAAGGGTCAAATGGTAGTATCTGTCAATTTCAAATGTACAAATCCTTTGACCCAATAATCCCACAAGGAATTTATTTCTATGCTATACTCAAACTAGTGCACAATAATATATATGAACAATAAAGATTATGGCAGCATTACTTACAATAAAAATTGGAAACAACCCAAAATCCATCCATAAAGGAATTGTTTAAACAAAGTATGGTATACCCCTACCTGGTATGGTATGGTATACCATGGGAATTCTATGTTGGAAACAATGAGGTAGATTTCCATGGACAGACACGGAATCAGCTCCAAGACAGACTTGTAAAGGGGGGAAAAAGTTGCAGAATAATATGCATAACGCAATTCCATTAAAAAACTGTATATGTCTAGAAGGATATGTAAAAAATATACATTATTTATAAGTGTTAAACAATATAAATACACAAAAACAAAGCACAGTAGATCAGACATCCATTCACATGTAAGAAGGTAGAAGAAGTAAGCAGTTACCAGAGGTCAGAAGAGGCAGGAAGTCAGGAGTTATAAGAGCTGAGGAACCTCAGAGTTCCAGGCAGGTGTAGACCAGGAATCCAAGACAGACAGGAGCCTCATTAGCAGAAAACAGCAATCAGCATCCTGCAAAGTGAACCTGACAGATACTAATGCAAGTTCTCTAGGAACTTCACATACCCGCTCTCAGAGGAACAACCCATCCCCAAGCCTGCAGGGCTCGCCAGCAGCCACGGGGCAATCAGTTTATTGCATCTAGTTTCAAGGGATGCAGATAAGGTAAGGTGGTATGCAAAGTCAGATACACACAAAACACACACATACCCAGTGTGGATATACAGCTACTACCTCCAGATCATAAGCGAAATGGATGCACAAGTGTTATTGGCATCACAGAGAATGTTACCAATGAGCAACTATTTCATATACTCCAAACGCTACTCTATGGTTATTCTTCGAGACTGACCCCAAGGGGTTATAGTATCTGAGAGTAAGAAGAGAAAACATCTCAGAAGAACCTTGGACCAAAGGCAGGTTTCTTCAGCTAAAGCCAAATTACTCAAATATTTCTAATTCCACCTTAAGGAAGCTATCCAGGCACATGAGAAATATGCCCTTGTTGTTCAAATGACTGCACTCCATCGAATTATGCAAAAACAATGGCTTCCATGTTAATAAACACATGAGCCCCTTACCTAATTGTTTTTTCTCATTTTCTCATGTATCTATATTCTAGAAGAAAGCTTATAAAAGGCAGGAACAGTGATCATTTAACTTGATCTTTGATCTCCTAGCTTTGTGCTTTACAGTAATTTGGCCAGAGGGTCTTCTCTTAAGGCAGAATATGTGACATAGTGAGATTATTTCTGGCATTTCAATAACTAAATCCATGTGGATAGAGCCTAAGAGGGACCTCCCCTTACTGAATTCTGTTCTAAAGTAAATACAAAAAGTTTCAAGTTATAGACAGTAAATGTATAAAACTATATACAAAATAATAATGATAATGTGAGGTACAACTCCATAGCAATTGACAGTTTATACAGTATTGTTAATTATACTATCTCTTGGACCATCACAAGAGCCCTCTGAGATTAGCAAAGTAAATCTTCCTATTAACCTTTTTGAGTGTCATTATTCATATCTGAAAATAGAGATGTAGGATGGGCCAAAGCATGGGTCTGGTCAGTGAGCAGGCTGACACCAGGATCCAGCAGGACTCAAGAGCTCCTCCTCTTACAAGAAAAGTCCCTCCATCAAGATTAAACCTCTCTGAGACAGCTACACCCACACCCTCCAAGTCCGTCAGTAAAAACTCACATGACGGTCTGTAATGGGAAAATACAGCTGGTGTCCAATCCTCAAAAAGACCCTTATCTACTGTGAGACTGAGGCGTTTCCTCTGAGCCTCTATAAATTGGGGTTAACGCTACTTACTAAAGATGGAAAGATTAACCATTTAATCCTTATAAATCTCTTTGGAATTGAATGGTACTCAAAAAAATACATAACTTAGCAGCCAGAGATTTTGACTTATCTGTCATAGGAAGGCAATATTTTCCAGTGTTATAAGAGAAACTCAACACAAAGTTTTCTCTTGGATAATTATAAGGAAACCATCAGTATTAACACAAGAGGAAAAGAAAGCCAAAGAGAAATATATTATTCCTGAGATGATGTCAATGAGAATCAGTAGTATAAGCTTTGCTCATCACTGTTAATTAATAAGAACTGAACACCACTGGGCATATAGCCTTGAATTGCTCTTAGCTGCTCTTAGCTTAATGAAAGATTCATTGAATTTTTTAGTGAATTAAATTTTGGTTCATGACAAAGACAGAGCTTCTAAAGGTATGCCAAAATAGGATGAAAAATTAATGTTAGAGAAATAGGAATTCATTCTGATTCTCCTTACACTTTATCTGGGCTTAGCATTAGTGAAGGTGATTCAAATTCTTTTGAGAAAGCAACATGTTCTGAAATTTGGTCAGATAAGATTGAGATCGAAATTCAACCCCAATTCACACTGTCACAGTTGGATAAATCTAGGAAAACACAAGAGGTCGAATCAGAGTGCAGAATTGAGGGCGAAAAGGCAGGTTATGGGAAAGCTGGGCCTCAGGAACGCTCCTTCTGGGCTTTGCAAAAGGCAAAGTCTGCAGTTTATTTCAAAAGTACCCAAATGTCAGCATTCATTTGAATAACAGAAAGCATAAAATTAAATAATCTCAAGTTGGAACACATGCCAGTATATATTTACAAATATCTCTTTAAAAAAATGAAAATAAACTTGGTGAGCCAGGAGAAAGCAAACGAAAAATGGCCTGGCTGTCTTACAACTTCTATATACAGACCAACAACTGAAATCCCTAAAGCAACATTTTAGGTCTAAAACATCATTTACAAAGGAAAAAAAGGAATAAAAGAGAGGGAGAGAGAGTGGGCAGGAAAATTCTTTCAGAAACCTTTCAAATACTCATCGTTGTGAAAAGTGTTGTAACAAATCTCATAAAACCCCATCCAGTACTGCAAATGCAGCTCATTCCATTAAATTAAACACAGAAAACTCTCCTGAAGGCAAATTCTCCCAACAACACTGAATAAAAATCTTCAGTGAATGAGGGAACCGGGAAGAGAGTATTACTGAGAAGAAAACATTTTCCAAATCCAACCATTTATTTCTTGAGACTGTGAACTGGATTCTGTGAAACTGTGAAACGTTTCTCGGACTTTTGCTAAATCTGGCCCAGGGCTGGTTACGAGTGATGAAAAAACAAACAAGGGGTCCCAGGTCATGATCTTGAGAGCGACTAGCAATGTGATGGTCAAGCAAATCCTGTACAAGTTAAGGATAAGCCAAGGCTGTTCTGTGTCACGGGAGCACTGGATATATGAGGGATGTAAAGAGAAAAAAGCCAGAAGGTTGGAGAAGTGGTTCTGGGATCGATATTTAGAAAGCTTAGAAGCCAGGCTAAGAAGCTTGAATTTTATTCATTACAGGCAATGGAAAGTGACCAAGAAGGAATGTCTCCCTGGATCTGTGCTTTGTAAGGAATATGGTACCTAAGAGGCCAGGGAAGGGCAGCAGAGATGAGGCCCAGGGGCAAAAAGGGCCAGAGACGAGGTTTAAAAGTAAAGCAAAACTGCATCCCAAGTAAACCTACACTCATGTGAGTGGAGTAAGATGAATTTTAGTCCAATTTGAATAGACAGGGGCAGATTTTAGCAAAAGGTGGGGAAAGAAGAAAGAAACAGCGCCCTTTTACAGTGAAGGATCCTGGGACACAATAAATTCAAACACAAGACAGAACAGGTTTTCAGAAGATGATGAGTTTGGCTCTTGTCACATTATCCTGAGACGACTGTGAGAAGCCCAGTGAAGATCGTCATCAAGAAAGTGACGAAGAGTCATCTGGAAATGGATTTCCAAGAGAGAAAGTCAAATAGACACACAAGGGGAGTCGGAAGAGCCTGAGGCATTTAGAGGGCAGCAGAGGAAGGGAGCTCAGGTGAAGGAACCAAGGAGGGGTCTTCCAGAAACCAAAGACCAGAATCAGCAGGACTCAGTGTCATGGAAAAACAAGGAGCGAATTTAAAGAAGAGTTGTGAAGCGCAAGGATCCAGTGTTGCAAAGTGTCTAAGGGAGGTGAAGATTTGAGCAGCATCACTATTGTCAACCATTAGCAAGGGGCCAGTGGTAACTTTACAATTTCCTTGGAGCAGTAAAGATGGAAGCCAAGCTGTAAACTTCTGTGGAGTGAATGAGTTCTGAGGATTGGGGATACCATGTAGTCTATTACTTGGCAGTAAATGCATGGAGATGGAATAGCAATGGGAAGAAGGAAGATTTTGGTTTTGGTTGTTTATTTGTTTGGTGTTTTTTTCTTAAGTAGAAATAATATTAAAAAATATTTGTAGCTTAGTAAAAGAAGTGAGAGAGGGGATTAAAAAGTCAAAACAGACAAAGCCAATGAAGAAGGGACAAAATATCAAGGAATCCTTCACAATTAAATTCTGGTATATTGAAAGAGGGTCTCTAGTGTGGTTGTGGTCTGAAGATAGAGACATCATGTGCCTCCTGAAAGTTTTGGATCTTTCATTTGGAAACACCTTGTATGCTGATCCTTGGCACGAATGTAATTCATATCTTAGACTTGAGAGAGAAAAGGAATGTGATGAAAGAGAAGCGAAGAGGTGAGATGGAGACAGACTAATTCTAATAGACCAGCACAACACTTACATTTCCAAAGTATTTGTCCAGCAACTCCACATAACGATGCACAATCTCAAGTGTCAAGAGCTCATTGTCCTGATTTTCTACTGCACAGCAAAAATATAAACTAGCATACCTTGAAAAGAAAAAAATAAAGTAAAGCACAAGGACACATTAAACAACGTGAAGTTTCTCCCCAATGAATATGCAAAGTTACCTCCTCCCCTCCAGAGAGGCTCCCCGTCCAAGTCCAAGAATGAAATCTTTACTCATCACATCCAAGTCCTCTCAAAACGTAAAATAGAATATAGAACAATATGGTGGTGATTGGAATATTTCTGTTAATTACGTGACAGGTCTAAAGAAAACTTGCCTTGAAGAGCTATGATCAGGGGACAGGGTCCTTTGACTCTTCCCCTCCCCAGCTTTCAAACTGTCTTTTCTAAGCTCCAAACTGTTGACCAGGGGTCTCTGGGCTCCCCGGTGCCCACCTTCTCACTTCAGACTGTACTGTGGTCATTCTGGACACGTCTCCCATCCTCAGCTTTGTCAAGTCCTCCCCTCCCCTGTGTGTTTCTTCTGCCTAACATACCCTTCCCTATCCTCATTCGTGTGGCTAACTCCCATTTCTCCTGTAGCTCTGAGCTTGGATGTCATTTCCACCAGGAAATCTCTATCCTCTCTGAGAGGATTGGATGTCCCTTCCATGCAGCCCTGGGCCTCCCCCACCATAGCATCTAGTGCTCTTTGTTGCCATTTCACAGCCTGTCTCTCCTCCACTAGATCGGTGGCTTCCCATAGGCCGGTACTGAGTCTGCCTGGTTCACAGTTGTGTACCCAGTACCTGTAAATATCCATTGAGAGAACTGCTGAAGCCTATTTTTTATACAATGGTTTAAAAGACAAATGAACCCAAAGTTTCAGAAACCAGCCCGCTGGGAGTAGTGAGAAATTTCTTGTTGGCAAGTACTTTCCGGGACTTTGCCTCTCCATCCCTGGGACGCTTATTATAAAGGGCCCTCGCTGACATCTCTCAGGATGCTAGTACTGAAGGTTTTGACTTTAGACTCAACAGAAGGAGCTTTTCCCAGGCACTTCCCGGTAATTTAATCCATCAAATGTAGTCTGCAGAGGTTACCTCCACATTTCTCCTTCAGCTTTTATAAACACTCCTTACAAGAGCCTTTCTAATGTGCATTTTTCTTCTAGAGGTTGCCGTAGGACATTGGATGGAGGGTCAGGTCAGCTGTGTTCTGGTGTTGGCTTGGGCATCAATTATCTGGGCCTTTATTGGCAAAATTACTTTACCTCTTGGGGCCTCCATTTCCTCATCTAGAAAATGAGGTTCCTTTCCAGTATTGTCCTGCCATGGCAAGTTAGTGCAGTAAAGAGACAATACATAGGCTTTAAAGCCAGAAAGATCTGGATTTGAATCCTGGCTCTGCTAATTACCACTCAGTTACTCTGATGGGGGACTAATTACTTAAACCCCCTGCAGCTTCAGTTTGCTCATCGGCAAATATGAGTAATAACAGCTATAATAAGAGCTCCCTATCTCTCTATCACATTAGCCTGCATTTTTTTCGAGCATTTGTTACTCACTGAAAATGTTTTGTTTACTTAACCAATGAGTAAGCTCCATGAGAGCAGGAATGTTCTGGGTCTTGTTCACTACTGAAGCCAACAGTGCTGGGAATTTAATAGGTACTCATAAGACATTTCTTGAATGCGTGTGTGCATCAGCAACACGTAGACTAAGTACCTAGGATCCATCCTGGCACGTGGAAGACCTTTCAGCAAATGATGGTTCTTTTCCAGTTAGTCTATTGCTACAAATATTTGGGTTCCAGCCTTCCAAGCTTTCAGTAAATGATGGAATTGGTGTTGCAATCTAAAATATTCAGGATTCAACAACCAAAGCAATAATGAGAAACCCAGTTCTCATAAAGTTACTCACACCTTTTATAAACAAGTTTTAGCTCCTTCCAGTCAATAAAACTGCTTGTCCTCTGGCCACGAGAGAGAATGATCTGTACAATTTCCCGGGTGATCTTTTTCCTTTCTTTGTCAGGGAGAGTAGTGTACCATTTCTGCAGCCGTAATTTCCCTTGTCGACTGAAGAGCAATATGAAATGTATCTAGAACAAATAAAGGACAGCAAAAGCAGAATTTGGTCAACCAAATCACTCTCTGTAGACACTGAAATTCAATGGCAGGGTTTACAAAGGATATAATTCTGAACAGATGAAATAATACAGCCTGAAACTATCTCATTTGACAAATTACATTTACCCATCAGAGAACAAAGAAATGTGTACATAGTAAACATAGCTTATTTATATTATAGGGGAAAGATAAGTTCTTTAATTCCTTTTATATTCATTATTGGGAGAAAAATAGATCAAGGAAGTATAAAACTCTTTCGAGAAAACTCAAATTCTTCCTTCATAAGCCAAAAAAAGTTTAAAACATGGGAAGAATTTACGTTAAAAAAATTACATGCCACTTCCATATCGTATAGAAACAGAATGATAATAGAGAAATAAAGGAGAGAAGTAAGGGAAGAAGATGAGGATGAAGCAAGGGGAAAGAATGAGACAGTGAGAAAGGGATCATATTCTTTTTAAAATAAAAATTGTATATGTTTAAGGTGTCCAACACAATGATTTGATATACCTATACATAGTGAAGTGATTACTGCAGTTAAGCTAATTAACATAATCATTTCCTCACACAATTACCATTTTTGTGTGTGATGACACCAGAAATATACTCTCTTAGCAAATTTCCAGTACTCAATACAGTATTATTAACCATTGTCATGATGCTGCATATTAGATCTCTAGACTTATCTATCTTATAACTGCAACTTTGTACCCTTTGACCAACATCCCCCCATTTCCCTACCTCTCTGCTCCTCGTGACCATCCTACTCTCTGCTTCTATGAGTTTGGCTTTTTTAGATTTCACATATAAGTGAGATCACGCAGTATTTGTCCTTCTGTGCCTGGCTTATTTCATTTAGCATGATGTCTCCCAGATTCATCCGTGATATCGCAAATGACAGAATTTCCTTCTTTTTTATGGTTGAATAATATTACATTGTGTATATATATACACCACATTTTCTTTATCCATTCTTCTGTTGATGAACACTTAGATTGATCCCATATATTGGCTATTGTGAATAATGCTGCAATGAACATAGGGGTGCAGATATCTCTTCAAGATACTGATTTCATTTCCTTTGGAAATATACCCAGAAGTGAGATTGCTGGATCATATGGTCATTCTAATTTTAATTCTTTGAGGACCCTCAATGCTGTTTTCCATAAGGGTTGTACCAATTTACATTCCCACCCACAATGTCCAAGGGTTCCTTTTTCTCTACATCCTCACCAACACTTGTTATCTTTTGTCTTTTTGATAATAGGCATTCTAACAGATGTGAGGTGATATCCCATTGTGGTTTTGATTTGCATTTCCCTGATGATTAGTGATGCTGGACACCTTTTCATGTACCTGTTGGCCATCTGTATATCTTCTTTGGAGAAATGTCAATTCAGAGCCTTTGCCCATTTTTAAATCAAGTTATTTGTTTTCTTGCTATTGATTTGTTTGAGTGCCTTGAATATTTTGGATATTACCTGTTTAACAGATTTATAGTTTGCAAATATTTTCTTCCATTCCATATGTTGTCTCTTTGCTCTGTTGATTGTTTCCTTTGCTGTGCAGAATTTTTTCAGTTCGATGCAATACCATTTGTCTATTTGTGCTTTCCTGCCCACACTTTTGGGATCATATCCAAGATATCATTGCATAGACCAATGTCAAGAAGCTTTTTCCCTGTGTTTTCTTCCAGTAGTTTTACAGTTTTAGGTCCTACATTTAAGTCTTAAATCCGTTTTGAATTGGTTTTCGCATATAGAGTGAGATCAGGGTCCAATTCTTCTGCACGTGGAAACCAGTCTTCCCAGCAACATTTATTGAAATGACTGTCCTTTCCCCATTGTGTGTTCTTGCCACCTTTGTCAAAGATCAAACTAAGTTTTAAATGTGAGCTCTTTACTCCACTTTGTGGATTACTTGGCTGAGAGCTTTAGAATCAACCATCTCAAGTTACAATTGTCTTTGGTATCACAATGGATTTTTAACAATTTAGATAGTATGTTGGCTACACTGGGAAGCAATCTGACTTTATTTTTCAATTAAGTTTTAAAATGTGTATTTGAAATGAATGTTCATACTTCAATGAATTTTAAAAGCTTTAAATGAGTAGAAGACATAGTAACATGCATAAGTTTACCTTGGTATCTTAGAGGAGTGGTAGCCTTGCTTTTCACGAGTTGTCAGATGGTCTGACCTTTCTTTTATGAGAGATTAAGTTTTCTCAGTCCATAGCATGAGAAGTTGACATTTAGAATCATAATTGATTTTGTTGGGTTTTTGTTTTGTTTTTTGAAAAATAAAATTCATTGTTGGGGTTAATTGTGTCATGGAGGGAACAATATATACTGGGAAACAAATAATTAAATTTTAAAAAGACTTTACAAATAGAATATTCAACCCTTTTTACTGAGGTTTGGCTCTGAATGTCACAGCATGAGTCCTAAAAACTCACTAGGTGGCGCTATCTGGGGCCAAAAGAAACCAGGCTCTTTTCTTCAGAGCTTTCTCTACCCCCAGCCTCTAGAATTTAAAGTGTTCTTAATAAGCTATACTCTGTCTTCGAAAGGAAACATCTGTTATGACAAGGAATTGAGGTCCAAGACATTGCAAGTGAAGAGAAAGCAAGTTTAAAAGCCCAGCTCATCTAGCAACTTTAAGAAAAATCACTCTCAGTGTGGAATTGTAAATATGTGCTTAGAACACAGCATTTTCTTAAATACCCATTTCACTATCAGCACAGGCACAGATAATTCAATAATGGAACACACTTACTGTTTTCTAAGAATCATATTGAGAGCTATTTTTGCTTCCAAGAACAGATAATCATAAAAGTAACATTCTAAAGGTATAAATCAAATGGTGATAGAAACATAAAACCTCAGGATCTTGAGAATAAAGCTCAGCTTGAGATCATCACAGTAGATAAGACTATTCAATCCAATGTCTAATGAATGGTCAGATTTTTTTACTAGAGAAATGAAATGCAGACATTTTCTTGGTGTTCCCTTTGCATTTCCTGTCAGAAAATTTTCTTCTTCCCATCTAATCTAAATCTCCTCTACTATAACTTAATCGAATTTTCCTTGATTTTATTCACAGAGTATATAAACAGATAATGTTTCACTATCCTTGGAGGAACTAACTTCACATGTTTGAAGACAGCCTTTAAGTCTAGCCGGAGACCTTTCCTTCCAGAAGAAATGACCCTGGTTTCGTGTCTTCATTGGTTCTATTTTTGAGCTCTCAAAATTATCATTGCAATTCCTCTGGGATTTCTTCATAGGTTAAATGTTACTTTTAATTTCGGGTGCTCAGATCAATGTCCAAAGTGAGAGGCTGCAACTATTGCTGGTTTAATTGTGGATTCCTTTCTAGTCCTTCTCTGTTGCAACCTTCTCTCAAGACCAAGGACCTGCCTTCTTAAATAAGGATCAACAGTGTGGAACAATCAACAAAGAGCAATTTTTCATTCCAACAACGAATTCAAAGAGAAAGGATCATCAGAAACATAATACACACTTCAATAAAGCCCGTATACAACAGAAAAATGCTTTCCAAATTAAAAAGAAGCAACAAATAGGTTTTAGGTTATCCCATAACTGCATAGCCTAAGACAGTGCTGAAAGATTTGGTCCTCTCAAGTTCTGCTCTGAGCAGGAACCAGAGCTTGTGTTGTGGTGTCTGGTGCCTGTGACGTCTCCAGAGTTAAGAGTGTGGCTTGAGAACCAGCGGAAGGAATTGTAATGATTCACAAGAGTTCATCACCTCCAGCAATTAATTTTATCCAATTTATCAGTTTAGTCATTCAAGGCATATTTGCATAAAGTGTTTCAAGAGGTTAATCAAATAACAGTTTTGATTAGCATTCGCTTGAGACTAGGAAAAAAGGCAATCGGAAGTGTTTTTTCAATATTTAAAAAGAGCCAAGTTAAATTCAAGCTGACGTCTTAAACAAACTTCATCTAACTTCAGAAAACAACACTCGGTCATTCTCTTTCTGTAATATTGCTGAGATGAAAGGCGTGATGGACAGACTGACTGGTAATACTGTTCTGGGAAACATCACCTCCGTAAAGAACCATAAAATGCAAAGGAGGGTGTTGAGCAGGGGTGACTTCTTATATCTGGCCCAGTGCTCCGGCCTCAGGCAGGCAACTAGCTTCACCAAGGTCTCCCATCCCTGTCCCAGAAGGAGGCCCTTCCATCAGCAGCCCTTTTGAGGGGTGTGGTTCTGTCACAGAGGATCCCTCAAACCCAGCATGTCAGATTAGTCCAAGCGTTCCTTGTCTTCAGAGTGTCCACTAGAACAATCCTTGACCTACTTGGGCACCACCCCAAATTCTCACTTTGACCCATAATGCAAATCAGTCTGGGTGTTTTCGTAATCATCTATTTCTGAAGCATGTCCAGGGAGGCACAACCAGGCCTTTGAAGGAAGCAAAAAGGAGACTAGGACCAATCTGTTTTGTCCACGGCTCTGAATCAGTGATAGCATCTGCCTTCTAGTTGAAGACAGTGAGGGCTTCCAATAGCAGCTTTGGTTCTTAATGTTTGCAAATCTCCCTGCTCCTGACCTGAAGCATGTAGAGGACCCATAACCAGCTTCCAAGAAGAGAGGTATCCAGGAACCTCTTCCTCTCCCCAACACTGTTACACCATGAACACCACCTCTTTAGCTTATATTTCATGATCTGAGCTGTAAATAAAAATACACAGAATTTGTTCCTTTCCTCCAGTACCATCAACCTGACAAGCCCTTCCTCTGGTGGCCCAGATCCCACAATACATCACTTAAACAACCCTATTGCTAGGGTCCTCACCTCCCTAGCATTTTTTCCAGCCTCTACAGCCACCCCGCAAATTCCTAACCCAAATCAGCCCATGCGCTCTCATCATTGCTTCTATGCTGAGGCATCAGGCACCCCTGGGAAAAATCACAGAGGACTTTACACATTAGAATCAGCTTGAA